CATTTTTCAGTAAACTTGCATTAACCCATTTAAAGTAGTTCGGAGGCTGGACAGCGAGCTGGTGTTCGACTGTATTCTGTAACCGCAATTCTCTCTGATGAAGCGGTAACTACAGCGGAGAAAAAGTACTCTTGATGGACACTCACTGGGTCCGTCAGACTGGAGACATTTTTGTGGTAATGTGACCAAAAATATTTAAGACCTACTGAATCTGATTTTAAGACATTTTAAGACATTTTAAGGCCTTATTTTAGGAAAACTTTATTTAAGACATTTTAAGACTTTTTAAGGACCCGCGGCCACCCTGTAGAAGACAGAATCACGTTTCATATATAAATAGATGTTTTCGTGCACCCCAAGATTTAACAGCATGGCAACAACTCTTCCTCTTGCCTTGCCCCCTTTGTTGCGTGTTCCAGGGGGCGGGGTTTATCTGGGTTTGTGATGTCACAAACCTGGGAAGTAACTTGTTGTAGTCCCTACGAGCCGTTTTTGTAAGCATTAAACTGCCAGAATTTTAAAACATATCTCCGTTTGCATTGAACTTTCAGCGCCGCAACTTTGTTGATATTGTTTATGCTCAAACAGCAACATTACACACTAACGTTAAAAAAAAGTGAAATCGCAATCAAACCACCCCTTTAAGACAAAAGAAAAGAAAAGAGCTAAGTGTTGGGTTCTAGAATTTATTCTATAAATATACTCTTCACAGAATATAGTACAGTACTCTGCATAATGGAGTACACCCCTCTGAACAAATACAAAATACTTTTTTCTTAATGATCACCAAGATAATTCATGGAAAGATGGCAAAATTGATTTTTTTAAACACATACAAAAAAACAAACAGAAAATATCATTAATATATGAAAAATAAGTAGATTAGTCAATTTTTGTTCAAATAAAGTGTCAAAAAAATTTGTACATCCTAGATTAAATTGAACAAACGTATCATATTCTAGTACTCAGTCCACCATAAATTTATACTAGTATAAAGTACATAATAGTAGCATATAAAGTATACTACTCTGACCCTTCTTGGCATTGAGTGTACTAGTTCATGACAAAATGTAACATCCGTCCTGTTTAACTCCTGGAGGATGACCTTAAATGTCCCAGTCTTTGTTGCTCAACTGCCTCTGCAAAATCCCCTACGTTTGCTTAAGAGTGTTAAGAGTTGGGTTAAATAATTATCCACAGAAGGTTTTTCACCTTGGGAGAATGTGTATAGTCATTGTTATGCTGAAAAAAAATGGCCAACTACGCAGGGAATGAGGAGACAGTAGCATCTTCCGTTTCAAGTTTTTGAATTACATCACACGGTGTGTGAATTCATGACAGCATTGATAAAGAACAAGTCCCTCGCACCTTCAAGACTCATACATCCCTATATAAGAGCTTTACTACCATTGAACTTCACTGTGGGAACCAGTCACTTCTCGCTGCACTCCTCCCCTAGCAATGCCAATGCCATTTTGGATGCTGTTAGATCCAAAATGATTTACTTGGTCTCATGAGACCAGAGTATGGATCCCCACAAGACTATATTTTGTAAACATGGGCCTTGAAAAAGACTAATATTAGATTTTTTTTGCTTTTGCTACAGTAGTTCACTTCTGCACCTTAATGTGTAAGATGAAACAGGCACTCTTTTCATAGCTTTTGCAAGCTTTGAGACACTTGCTTGGAATTTCTCCTGCTCTTTTCCTAGCAAAATCACTTCTCATGAAATAAAAGCTTAAAATGAGGGCCTGGTTATTTCAGGGACCAAGTCACAAGTTCCTTGTTTTATTTCTGTGTTCCTTTCGTTCAAAGAAATAAGTCTCCTGTCAGTTTTCTCTCAACTGGTTTCATTGTTGTCAGCATTCAATCTGAGAACTCAGTGGGTTATGCAACACCTTTAATTGTGAAGAAATTACTTATTTATCTCTTGGTCAAATTTGCCTTTCTGTTTAAATAAAGAAATAATGAATAAAACATACATTTAAAATAAAAATGTATTAGTTTAATTATGCAAGTTTCAGGTGGGTGTACTTATTTTTGAATCAACATTTTATCACTTTGATAAGAAAATCTTATTTTACTGAATAATTCTGAAATGCTTCTTTGGTAATTGATCAAGCAGACTTGCTTGAATATTATATCTCCAAATAATCCTAACGTCTTCTAAATAAAGAATAATTGATTAATTCCGAGAGGGGTGTACTCATTTATGCTGAGGGAGAATGTGAACCTTACTGAGGTGGCTATAGACAACCCAAAGATACCCAAGACAAAGGTTGGAAAACTCTGCTCTAAATTATGAAGGAAAAAAATGGACATCAAAAATTGATAATAGCTGATAAAAGCTTGGAGACATATTACAGTAGGTTTGTCTTTGTAGCAGAAATGTACCCATACCTGTTAATGACGGCTTGGTCTGACTCCAGTCTAAATACACGTGGCTTTGGGTTGCCATCCTGCGCCTTTGGGGTTACAGTTCCCACCTCCACGAAACCAAAGCCCAGTCTATAGAGGCCATCCACTGCCTCACAATGCTTGTCAAAGCCTGCTGCTAACCCAACTGGGTTCTGGAACTTTTGACCCATCACATGCACTTCCTGATGGAAATAAATGTGAAAATACATTTTAATTTAAATTTCCCTTGAAAATAGAGAGTATCACAACGCTTGCATGTGCGTTCCTCTGCACGTAAACAAGGCTTAGCGCATGCATGTTCTACGTCAGACTCAGCAGCATCACGCGCATGCATTGTTTAAGTGCAGAGGTACTCGTCTTGATAATGGAGAAGAATTGTTGAATAAAAGTCTTTTTTTTTTTTTTTTACAGAACAGCATACGTTGTTTGCGTTCAGTGGATATTCTCCAAAATGGCGGGAATGGTGGGGTGCATGTGAAATTTGTTGAATAAAATTTTTTTTTTTTTTTTTTTTCTCGATGCACACAAAAAGTATTCTCCCTCATTTGTAAAATTACGGTTGAACCACTGATGTCCCATAGACTATTTTACCGATGTCCTTACTACCTATCTGGGTCTGGGAACATTTCAGTTGCATTGCTGTCTATGCAGTGTCAGAAAGCTTGGATTTCATCAAAAATATCTTCATTTGTGTTCCGAAGATGAGCGAAGGTCTTACGGGTTTGGAACGTCACGAGGGTGAGTAATTAATGACAGAATTTTAACCCTTTAAAATGTAAAAATTAAAATCTAAAACAAATCTGCTAGATTTATGATGTTAATAACTATGGAAATGCATCATCAATCTGTGAAAAGGATCCATATAGCAATTTATCACAAATATTTAAGACACTGACCAGTGAGGCTGGGTCCTTGTAGTTGTTGTAAGGCACAAGTCCAAGACCAATCACCCGAACAGCCATGACATGAGCCGTCTCTGCTCCTACAAACCTCTGCAGCGCAGGCATGAGAGCACTGGCATAGAAACGATCGTCTCCGGAGGCTGTGAGGTATCCCAGGAACAGGGCACTTCCACATCCTATGATCTTTAAGGCATCTTTCGCTTGTTTCTGCAAAGATCAAGAGAGGATACTTAAGCAACAAGAGACCACACTTTTTTTCTATCATCAAACAGATAGTGCCCCATTTTAAAAGAAACAATCCCAAGCACACACTCTAAACGTGCACTAAAGCTCAAAACTGAATATGTAAGTTAGGCTCATCAAAGAAATTTGCATATATTACAGGATATGTAAGTATCCACTAAAATACCACAATAAAACCTTTACAAAAATCCTAGGTCAGCACTATGGATGGATGGATCAATGGTGATATAATGCCATGTAACGTTAATACCATAGTACTGAATGTCACCATATTCATATATTCTGTGATATTTCAATGTCAAAAATACCCAAGGTATTATCCCGGATTTCTTTTTTTATTATTATTTACTTATTTTTGTGTGTAATGCATTTAAAGTTACCATAGCAATCAAATAAACTGAGACTTTTCTCCTGATTTCAGGGGATTACAGAGGGCTTACTGTAATTTTATATTCACACAAACTGGGAAAATCGGGAGCTGATTCAACGTAAGACGCAAAACAACAAAAAGTGCCACTTATTTATCTGTAAATGCATGCTCTGCTTGATCTGGCGACACTTTAAAAAACAAAACTTTATCAAGGAACAACGACGCATCGCTTATTCACCTTCAGTCGTCCCGCCATGAGTGCTGTGTAACACCAGCATCCAAACCACGTGTTCGCTGTTCACGTCCTGAACGAAATCTCGCGAGAATGAAGTAGAGGCGAGCCCCTGAGAGCGAAATTAATTTGAGATGTTTGTTATATAAAACAGCTAAATGTGTGATATGAACAGTTAATTGAGTGGAACTACTGTAAAAATTCAACAATGTTAATTTTGACAATTTTAAGCACAGTGTATGTTGCACTGGGTAAAAGAGAGACGTGTAATAGGCATATACGAATATAATGTTTTAATAAAATATTTTATTACTCAATATATTTAGTACTAAAATGATATATTTTTCGAAGTATGAAAACGTTTCATGTTTTAGGACCAGAGAGTACTTCCATAACTTTTTTTATATTGTTCTACAGAATATATCAAAATTCCATGGAATTTCCATCAGTATTGCCAAAGTACTTTTACAGTGTGCTTTTCCTTATTTTTCTATTATACAGTGTTAAGTAATTAGTAATACAGAGAATGACAAAGAACTCTTTTCCATCATCACTGCACAGGATAGTGTGACTTAAAATCAAAATGTCTTTATTTCACAAATCTGTGATCGTGGATAGCAATATATTGGAGGCTTTTGGAATGGAGAGTCTTGGTTTAAAGTCAGACTTTGCATGTATTTGAGTGCCTGCTCCCATTTCCCTAATGAAGTTAGTTCACATTCACTGTTTTCACAAAGTGAGATTTCAGATTTACCTAAGATGTACGTAGGCTCCCTGTTTTTTAGTCCACACAAACTTTCCTAGACTGAAGGTTGCTTTTCAGCTATTATCAGTCATGGCTTTCTCAAAGCAAGTGCTTGTTTATTGTTGGATATCAATTTTTTTGATGCCGCTTACAACTTGTAAGGATGAATCAGAAGAAAGTGGACACGAGCAAGATGATTATGGCAGGAGAATTCTGGAAATTCATGAGGGAATAGCGTATGAGTTTGTTCAGGAATCCATGCCATGGGCTGAAGCCCATGAGAGCTGTGAAAAACAAGGGGGACATCTTCTGAGGGACTTGAATGTTGAGATTAAGGAGCTCGTACAAACCCAGTACACAGAAACTGGACCGTGGTGGGTCAGTCGGGAGTTGATGTATAAAAATTCCATCAGTGGTGAGTAAAGTTCACAGTTTTGTATCTGTAGATTGTCTATACTTCTTTACCCTTACTATATAACAAGGAAAGTCAAACCTGTGCCTAAAATAGAAAGTACTGATAGATGGTGTTAAATGTAACAAGCTACATCTTGTCTCATGAGAGCTTTTGATTTCAGTTTTGGGTTACGCTTTAGTTTAGGGACCAATTCTCACTATTAACTAGTTGCTTATTAGCATGCAGCATATTGGCTGTTTATTACTTATAAAGCACTTTTTCTGCATGGCCATATTTTACATCTCTGCCCCATACCTAAACTGAACAGCTACCTTAATAAATATTAATATGCAGCAAATTATGAGTTTATTAAGGCAAAAGTAGTAATAGTGAGAACCAAACTAAAGTATGACCAAGTTTGGTATTCCAATGACTTCCTGGAGTTTGTATGAAGGAATTAATTTGATTAGGCAGGGCAAACTGATGTTAGTGCAGTATTTTAGCAGGCATCATGCTGTTCATAACATACTGCTTTGCCTAAAAATAAAGGTTCAATTAGTACCAATAAGGCCTGATGCTATATGTGACCCTGGACCACAAAACCAGTCATAAGGGTCAATGTTTTGAAATTGAGATACAACTGAGATCTGGAAGCTGAATAAATAAGCTTTCCATTGATGTATGGTTTGTTAGGATAGGACAATATTTGGCTGAGATACAACTATTTGAAAATCTGGAATCTGAGGGTGCAAAAAAATCTAAATATTGAGAAATCTTTAGATCAAATGAAGTCTTTAGCAATGCATATTACTAATCAAAAATTAAGTTTTGATATATTTACGGTAGGAGATTTACAAAATGTCTTCATGGGACATGATCTTTATATCCTAATGATTTTTGGCATAAAAGAAAAATCGATAATTTTGACCCATACAATGTATTTCTGGCTATTGCTACAAATATCCCCGTGCAACTTAAGACTGGTTTTGTGGTCCAGGGTCACAAATATCTTTAATCTCCAAAGAACCATGTAGTAATACAACTCAAGATAAATATTCTTTGCTAATCCCAAGGAGGTGTAAAGAGCAACTAAAGAACCTTATTTTTCCTAGAATTTTTACCTCAAGAGTTTATGGCAATGAAATAAATGACACTATATCGTTCATGGAGATTTTTTTATATATGTTTGGGTGTGTTTACAGGATTTGAACCTGTCTCGTATTCCCCTGTTAAAAATGATGGCAGTGTCAGTAAAGATCACTTAGCTTGCACCTATATGGTCAAAGATCCATTTCAGCTGGTGACCACACCCGACTGCAGCATGAGCTTTAGCTCCCTCTGCACGCGAGGTACAGAAACAAATCACAGACATAACATAAAACAACATTGTTTGATGATGTGAATCAGAATAACTGGACAGCACAGAAATGAGATTGCTTACTACATAATTTCTTTTAAATATGGAACAGAATGTAATGTAGTTATGCCGTTACAGTTTTAAATACACATCTGACATCAAGTGAAGCAAACAAAAGGAGCCGCAGAAGTCTTACTGACACATTGACGTCACTGGAAGTCAGTATAGGAAACACTGTTGTGCTTTTGGAGGTTGGTGAGGTTATTCAGTAAAAGAATATATAGTCCTATGTTTTATTTCCGTAAAGTGGCCTCTTCAGAACTGTTTTATGAAAGCGGGCCTCAGAAAATAAAGGGCGAAAGGAAAGGTAGAGTTTGGGATAATTTCATTGTAGAAATTAGTGATATACAAGACCACTCGGCATCTTGAGCTTGCTTGTTTCATTTGAACTGTAAAGAAGTTAACTACTTGATATTTCTATAATGGACTGGACCATAATCAAACATTGTGTGAATAATATCATTAAATAAATAAAAAATGGACGTAGGAAGAGTTTAAAAGAGTTAGAGACATACAGAGTAAATTATAATCTCAACAACAATTCGTGAACTCGTGATCATTTTAACCCTTCTTGTCAATCTTGCAGAATGCCAAAACAATGTTGAAGGATTTGGAGACAACAACAGAAGTACTATCAAAGGAAAATAAGGTGATTCATGCATATTATACAAGATTAATTATGAATACATTACATTATTGCATATAGTAATTAATAATCAGGCTGAAGTTTTTTTTTTTTTTTCTGTTGGTCTAGCATATCAGATTTGTAACGGCCTTTCAAATTTTCAATAGTAGTATAGAAATATTTTTCATTATACATACACTTTTAAAAATATTTACCAAGCTTTTAATTTTCAATATCCTCACTTGTGCAAGCCAGCAAGTCTGCCATGCATACATAATCAACAAAAGTAAATGTAGTGACAACCCAGCATTGGCCCAATAAGGCAAAGAAGAGTTCATTTAGCTGGCCTGAAACTCTCTGGTCCTGGGCAAACATACCATCCTTATTGTTGATCCCTGCATAACAATGACAATATTCTCATTGCTTCGTAATCCTTAAACCATCATTTTTCATTTATAATTCCATTTATTTTCAGCACAACACACTGATGTATCGATGAAGCTTGTTTTGTTGCAGAATCTGATTTTACCAAGTGCGACATGTTCCTGGATCAACATCTTTGTTGACCATGGGACAACATTGTGATTAACCAATCAGATTTGAAGAACCAGTTAATAGTTTTTGTGACGTTTAGGCTTACAATCAGTGTTTGGTGCTTGTACATCAGTGTCATTCATATATCATTTCCTCTGATTTTAGGGATTACTCATGGTTAAGGTTAGGTTTAGGTGTAGGGATATGGTCAAGACTCAATTTTTGGATTAAAATGTTGCTCCAGGGTCAACAAAATATGTCTACATCTAACTCTGCAAAAACAGGATGTGAGTAAATTGTTCTCTATTACTTCTTTATCGGATAGATCAAATACCTGCAAAACATATATGGTCACCTTCAAACGAGTGCTATAGTGAATCCAGTCCAGCTTGATGAAATTATGAACAGCACTGCGGCCATGCTTTTGTACTCACAAGAGTGTGAACCTGACAACATGGATGATGTAAGTCAAGTTGTCAAGTTATCAATGGATCAAATGATTTTGAGGCTGATTATGTCTCTCTAGACAAATGCTTTACATTGTTATAACTTTTCAACTGTGAATAGTTCTTTTTTTTTTAACAGCTTGAGGAACTCATCACTCTTGCCGGCCACATTTACGGAAAGGCTCTGGCTGGTAACGGTAACATTGTCAAGGAACTTCCAACAGGCACTATTTATGTCACAAGGTCATTATTAGTTGACTGATTACTGACCTATGTTATCATATGCAATGGTTCGTATTTAATGTATAGCTGTGTCTCCATAGGCAAGATTCAAGCACCCTGGGTGGAAAAACCGTTGGCTCAATAGATGGAGGATTTTGCCAACTTCCATCTCTTACTGCAATGACTGGACAGCTGCCTACTGGGAATGTCAATGTGCAGGTTTGCTAACATCAAAGTCCCAAGTCATAAAATCAGCTACATATTTATTTTCAGAATGTAAATATTAATATTTTTTACAGTGGTCAGTCTAAAATCTAAATTAATTCCATTTACTTCCTTAATATAGCACATATTTCTGGTCTTATTGTGCTTGATTCATCAGTGCACATTATTCCAAAAGAAACAAAAAAAGGTCTTTCTTCATAATAATCCTGTAACTTGTTTTGCGTCTAAAATTATTATTAATATTTTTTATTTTTTTGCTGACATGTTCAAGCAGTCTTATCATTTTTAAACCCTCTTCTGTCATATATAGACCATTATAGACCAATCTTTTCACAGTCATGATCATGCTTTAAAGCTGATAAAAACTTTATCATTACAGCTCTTCCAATTTAAAGAGAATCCATTGGAAACCAAGTCCAACGAAAGCATCACTGGAACAACTTGCTGCTTTTCTTTGCAGAATGGAAGCTCTACACTCAAATTAGCAAATCTTCCACAGAACATTGAGGTGAAAACAAATACGTAACTGAACTCATTTTGTTACTCATTAGTTAGAGAACCATATTGAGCTCACTTCATCAATTTCAAATATGTGAACATTGAACACAGAAGCATTTGACTTGCTCTATGAGATTTGTAAGGCACTATTCTCTGTAAAGCTGCTTTGAAACAATAAGCAGTGCTTTACACATTTTGAATTGAATTAAGTAGCTACTGATGATTCTCTCTGTACAGATATATCTGCCTCGGCCTGAAGCCCCTGAGCCTGAAGTTGTAGATATAACCTGGAAACCAGGGTTTACTGTCACCTCAACATTCAACATCTCAGACGTGAATATGACTTTGGTTGTTACAGCAATGCCAAATCGAAACGTAACTCTCCGTGTGACTTTGTACCCACCAGAGGAGGCAAACGCCACCTATTTGAATCAAAGCACGAATATAACCTACAAAGGTAAAGTTTGGAAAATAAATGACTAAAATGAAAAGTTCACATATATTATTCAAAGACTGTTGCTACTGTTAGTAAGAGATGAACCTTTCCCCTGCATTTTTTTTTTTTTGTGCAACAGACAATTATCGCTGGCTGATCACCCCTGAAATGACAAAGGGAATTGAGGGGGCCTGGAAGGTGGCGGTATTACCAACTGATTACTCCCCAAGTGAGTTGCTGACCTTTAAAGTCTCCGTTTTTGTAACCAAGTGCCTGTTTTGGGATACCAGCCTTGGAGCCTGGAGTAGAGAGGGCTGCATGGTAAGACTCCATAATAGTTGCTCATTTAATAATGTACATTTAATATACAGTCTTTTCATGATGTTTGTGATATCATGTCTATCCAAAGGTTGGTCCCAATACAATGCCGAACCTAACTCACTGTTTGTGCAACCACACAACATTCTTTGGGAGCTCCTTCTTTGTGATGCCCAACCAAGTTGATTTGTCCCAGACGGCAGCTTTGTTTGCCACAGTAAATGAGAACTATATAGTGGTGGTTTTACTCAGCTGCTTCTTTGCCCTCTTTCTGGTGGTTGTAATGTGGGCCTGGTATGCAGACCGCAAAGCTCTCAGAACGGTACAGTATACTAACATTTACTCTCCTGCTTAACACACTCATGTGGCTTGTTAAGGAAAGAGGTGCGCTGACCAAACACAGAGTTTAAAACAGCTGACAAAATCCCAGTTACATTCATGGAGTGATGAAGCCATTTTTGGACATAAGGGGCCAGATTCACAAAAATCTTTCTTCTTAAAGTTGCTTCTTAAATGTTAAGAAGGCCCTTAAGATAAAGATGTTCATAACCCTAAGAGCAATTATTTAAAACTTTGTATGTTTCTTAAAAAAAAAAAAAGTATCTCCAGAAAAAGATAAGAACATTAAGTATTTTTGTAAATAAAATAAAAGAAGAAGAAGAAAATGGTAGTTGAGAATGCTATTCTTAAGAATGTTTTGAATCCGGCCCCAGAATATGAAGATATTTCTTTTTCCTAATTGAGCTAACAAGTAAAATCACATTTCCCTTTTATTTAAAACAGCCACTGAAGTGCATTTCCAAGTAAAATATAATGGTCATTTGATCTTATGAAGAGAAGTTTCTTCAGTCACCGCAACACCTAGTCTTTAACTTAAACCAGTATGCTTTACTTATGTCACAATCATCCTTGAAGACAAACTAGAATTAATTAGACTAGATGGTAAAATCATCTACAGGTAAAAGGTTTCAGGATTCTAGAACTACAAAGAGTTAGGACGTTTAAAAAAAAATGGTATTAAATAGGTTGCTTTGTTTTGTGCATCAAAGTTACAGATGTTTGTTTACTGTGCCTTGATGTCATCAGTTAGTTTCAAAATCTAGGAAACAAGAAACCACTTTTAAATAAATGTAAATGATTTTTTACTTTCACCAGAGTATGATTTTATCTAAATATGTTGACACATAGCAGAATTTCAATGCTAGACTGATTCCACTGCATCCATTGCCATTGATACACCAAGATCCTTGATAAATATGCCTGTAATGTGGTAAAATACCTGTGTCCACAGCGTAAAATGACACTGTTGGAGGACAACCATCCATGTGCCATGTACAACTACCTTGTGAATGTGCAAACAGGCCACAGAAGAGGGGCTGGCACCACTGCGAAGGTGATACACACTGTGTCTATATGCTTGTTTTCACTTGCCTATGTTTCTCAACTTTGATATGTTTAGAAGGCGCTTAATTCGAGTCTTTGTCTTTGTTAGGTTATGATGACCATCCAATTCAAAGAAGGGCAAAGTGAACATTACAGTTTGTCTGACCCTGAGAAGCCAGTGTTTGAGAGGGGAGGGGTGGATGTGTTCCTGCTCAGTATGCCCTTCTCTCTTGGAGAACTGCAGAGCATTGACATATCGCATGACAACTCGGGTGGAAGCCCTGACTGGTAGGTGTCTACTTGTCCCGGCTTTTGCATGCTTTTTCGTATTTTTGCATAGCAAGGCAGAAACAGAGTACACTTTAAAATGAGGCGTATGTTGTGTTGTTTACTATTCCTTTTGAATCTTTAATCTTAAATTCACACACATGTGCATGAATAAAACACAATAATTTGCATTTAAAATAACTCCATAATAAATAAACACATTTAAATATTAATATAGAAGATAGAAGAGTATGGTTTTTCCAAACATGTGTTGAAACTTGAAATCTATTGAAGCTACAATGGTACTTTGAATTAAAGGCCAAACCATCAGAGTTTGTGACACGTGATAGCTCTTGAAAGCTCTCCATATCCTTTATCTGATAATGTAAGACTAGCTGTTGATCAAAGAATGATTTCATTAAAGAAGGTCCAAATGCTAATTTCACTTTCAAAATTCTTCCTTGATCTATGGCAGAAGTGTCCAATCCTGTCAGTCTTTAGCGTCAATCCTAATCAAACACAACTGGACCATCTAATCAAAGTCTTTAACATTACTAGAAACATCTAAGCAAGTGTGTTTGGGAAGGTTGCATAACACTGTCCCTCCAGGAGGAGGACTGGACACCCCTGAACTATGAAGTGATGGGTGAAAGAAGTAAGCGTATGAATGAATTAGGTTGCATATGTCTCACATCACAAAATGTTCCATCAGGTACTTGGACAGAATCATGGTGCAGGATTTACAGATGCAGGAGGTCACACACTTTCTGTGCTCCACCTGGCTGAGAGGTGAAATATGCAAGAGGACCTTCAACTCAGCTAACATGAATGAAGTTGCAAGCTTTGGGTAAAAACTTGAACTTAACTTACATTCTCAAAGAAACTACATCTAATTATTAAAGCTATACCTGCACTACCAGTCAAACGTTTGAACACGCGTTTGAATAGTAAGGTCGTCAAAATTATGAAATAGCATTATTGGAAGAATGGGAATGATGTAGTGACCAGCAAATCAAATGAATCAAATTAAAAGTACTTTTATCATTTCAACTTCTTCAAAGTAACCACTCTTTATCTTATTGCTCATTACACTCTGAACATTAGGTCAAGAATAATAATTGATAGTATTGTTTGGCTTCATTTAGATTTAGAAGATTTAGAGCATTTTGATCTGAAATGTAACTTACTTTTTGTTTATTGAACTGGTTTATGAAAATAATATATATCAGGACTATATTCAGTACAACATTTTCTATAAGCCTTTAAAACAACAAGAAACAGCCAAGCTTTAGAGAACTTCTTAAAGTGTTTTTCAATAATAATTTACCCTCTCTACCAACCCCCATCCCAGCAATATCTTCCAGACCCGGACATCTTCTGGCTTCCGGGATGAGCACATCTGGGTGTCGATCGTGGACCCCCCACGGCGCAGTCCTTTCACGCGTGTTCAGAGAGTGTCCTGCTGCATGTCTCTGCTGCTCTGCACCATGGCCATTAACATCATGTTCTGGAACCTTCCTGTTGATGAAGAGTCTCCTGTCCTTCTAAAGATAGGTCAGAAAACTTCCCTGCGGCATTTTTCATTTTCTAAAATTATGTAATGCACAAATGCGACGCCTCACTCTCAACACCACTCGGGTATTTTTATGCAATGCGTCATGTTTGAGAGAGTCATGCTTTGAGGGAGCATGTTTTGTTCAGTTGCTTATTCATTACACATAAGCATATAAATATTTTAAAAAAAGAATGCATAATAATATTAGTTAGTCAAAACCTGCATTAATTTCCTCCTTCTGTTGAACACAAAAGAAGATTTTTTGAACAATGTGGGTCCTAAAGAGCTGCTGTAGCCATTGACTTCCATAGTAATAAACTTTTCATTTTGGGTGAATTACCCCTAATAGTATTTACTTTAATAAATGTACACAAACTATTTTCTTGGATATTACAGGCTCTTTTGAACTGACATGGCAGGAGTTCATGGTTGCCATAGAGAGCGGCCTTTTCATGTTCCCCATCAACATCCTGATCATAACTATCTTCAGACACATCAAACCACGCATTCTCCTGAACAAAGGGAAGACTGGCACTTCCAAGAAAACAACACCGGCTGCTGCTGTTTCTATGAACACTATCATAAAGGTTCTTGCAGAAGTAATTCCAAAGCATAATAATTGCTTTCTGCAATAATACACACTTGTGAGCAAAATGTTATATTATTGTAAGTGAATGTTCTGTTCCTACTCGTAGGAAACCGTAGGACTGTTAAATCATCTGAGCAAAAGCCCCAAAAACATGCTGGCTGCCAAAGAGATACGGCCTGAGACCAGTGGCGATCTTTTCTGGGCCCTGAATAAAGTGAATGACGTCCTTCAGATTATGCAAGGTTGCTTGATCAGTATTATTTCTTTTCTATGTGTTCTTAATATTTGGCATTATGTCAATGTCATTCATTAATGATACACATACTCAAAACAAATCAGTGTTATTTTAGTATCATTGAGATTCGATTACAGCTTTTATTAATATTTTGAATTCGTTTTTATTTTATATTTTCCATTTTTATTTTAAAGTTGTATCAATTTTGGTGTGCTTTTGTCGTTTTATTATTTTTTTAAATATGAAAAAAATATATATGTATATAGTTTTTATAACTAAAAAGTTTTAAAAGTTTAGTTAGTTGCTTTGTTAACTTACTAAAATAAATCAAGTTTAAGTATTTTTATTTCAAGTTGATTTTAATTCAAGTAATTTTGCAAAATTAAAGACTACAATGAAAATAAGTAGCTGTATTTTAAACTTTAAATATGTTCTTCTGTAATGTGACATAATGCTTAATATTAAGTAATCCTTCATCAGAAATATTTTTAAATGTATTTTTATTGTACGAAGACTCATTATAGCTCTGTTGTGTGTTCTCATTCAGTGGAAAATGTTGGTGATCCTCACTGGTCGTACTGCAGCCGCTTTGTGTTCTATTCACTGAGCCACATTTCTAACCTGCTGGAGCATGTGGGAGAAAAGGGCTTTTTCCTTAACGAGGAGCTTCGGCAGGCGCGCGGGACAGTCGGTGTCCTGCTGAAGAAGGCTGAAATGGCTACTCTCCAGCACGCTTCCCAAAGGTCAGGACTGTCACCTCTGCAGATACTCCTATTGTACATGTATTAAAAAGATGATTCATTTTTACAAGAAACTCAAGACCTTTTAGGATCTCTTTGTCCTTCCATATTCTTTCTAATCTCACAATCTTTTTATTTTCTTCTCAACCTTTCTGATCGATTACTAGTCTGTATTTCACTATCAGTATCAATTCAACACCTGGACTGTTTAGTGGCTAGAGCTGGTTCTTTGAAATATACAATAATAAGCAGATGTTCTTGTTAGCAGAAATGCAAGAATCCTGTTTCTTCCATTAAAACAGATTTTGTTTTTGTTGTTGTTGTTCCAGCCAACCATCTGTGCAAGTACAGAAGAAGAAACAGGGTTGGTGGTTGCCTTGGTGGTTTCTCTTTATTGGTTGGTTCCTGCTTTTTGCCATGAGCGGTATTTCCACCTTCTTTACCCTGCTTTATGGCTTCCAGTATGGAAGGGAGTCTTCCATACAGTGGGTCATCACTCTTACATTATCTCTCGTCCAAAGCATCTTCATCTTGCAGCCCCTTAAGGTAAGAACCAGTGGGGTCTTCTTCTCAAGAGAAGAAGAGACTTTAAAAGAACACTCCACTATTTTTGAAAATAGGCTCATTTTCCAAATTTCACCTCCTAACTGTTATGGATGACAGGTGATATTTGTGGCGATCTTCTTTGCCATGATCCTGAGGCCAGTCACTGTGGAGAACAACGAGGAGGTGGAACTGCTCCTGCAGGGTGAGAACATGCACACCAAAAAACAAAAGAACTTTGTCTCTGCCAATATCAAACAGTGATCTCATTAATGCTTTATTGGCATTTTACAGAGCAAAGGGGGAAATGTGAGGAATACGCCGGGAGGTCAATATCCTGATTACATCTCACCTCGGACTCAAATTGTAAAGGAGGATGCTTGATTTGAGAAGTCATCAAACTCACACAATTTTACTCTAGATTTTGGTGTTGGGAACAGAAGATGCCATTTTCATGTCTATGCAAATGATTGGCGTCTCACTGTCTCTTGCAGATTATAATCCATTTGTGTAGGCAGACTTTATTTTTCATGTTTATATTTTAGTCATTATTATTATGTGTACAGATCTTTGTATCAAAATCTAGCAACATATTATTGATTTAGTCTATACTGTTACAATAACAATGGTGTATAGTTTAGCACACTCAGGTTTTTCTTTACTTTTGTTTTCTGATCAAATCAGAAAAAGGGTTTTCTAATAGATTATGGCAATAATGTCACTTAAAAAACTGTCAAATTGAGATTCGCATAAGGTTATTTTTAAGAATTACTGTCTAACGATACATGAACATATTTTCATTTTGGTGGGCAGTATCATTCTATACATTGCCATTTTTGGTTAATTTACTGCAAGAGCAGATTCTCATTTCACTCACATTTTGGTAACTGTTCAGTAAATAGTACCGCTGTGTGTCTGCTGTAATTGTTGAGCTTTGCTTAATGTCATCTCAGTATGAGGGGTAGGTCAGTGTCAATGTTGAAACTATATTACATAAAAAAAACACTGAATATTCTCACTATTATGTCTCAGTTTAATTTATGCAATTTATAAATACTCTATAAAATGTATTTTAGTATAACTTCAATAAATAAATTATTTTCCAATGCATTTCAGTGTATCAGTCAAAATATATTTGACATTCAGTGCAATTATGATCAACATCAATATGAATCATTTACTTGGGTGAGAAGTATGTTATGAGCAAATAGACTTTATTACACGGCATCATATATGTTTTCAATGCAAGCTAAAGTCAATATCAAACATACCTAAACACTGCCAGATTTGTATTTGGGTGATTTGAGAAGAGAAAACACAAATTAGTGTTATAAAACCAAGTAGAAAGCAGCCAAAACAACACTTTCAACACTTGAGACGTTGACACTTTAAACAGTCAAATCTTACAACAAATAAGTCAAGGATATATGATAAAAACCCCCACCAAGAAAGGAATAAGCATGTAAATACTTATTCAAATGTGGAGTTCATGGTACAAGCTGTCAGGAAAGTCACATTTCCCAGAGAAAGGTGTGGAACAGCAAGGCCACAGCTTGAGATGTGGAAACAAAGGCAAATTCAGTCCAGAAACACACAAAGACAGGACTAGAAACAGGAGTGTTATTAACTGTAGACAAAATACAAAGCCTTTCCTTTAGAGTCAAATTAAGATGGCTGACAGGAGTAACTACATTAACAGAAAAAGTGGGAAATGCTTAACTTTAGGACACAGAGATGACTCGTTAAATGAGAGGCTGAAATAAAGCAATCTTTTCTTCAATTCTGTGCTCAGTTCACCAGAATTTAGGTGTTCACCAAACCATCCCATCAAAACGCATTCTGTCAATAACAAAAAGCCAGAGTCATTTTGCACAAACATTGTGATCCACTAACAATCCATGACATCATACAGTTGTTTGCAGGTTCATAGTTCATTGCACAACTCTGGGTGTAAATAATGGCATTTTCCTAGAGGAGTCATAGAGATTTCTGATTTGCTGGGGAAAAACTTAAGACATTGTTTTTTTAGTTTTTTTTAAAGGGGGAAAGTTAACAAAATCTTTTCAATAGACATCTCAGGTGGTCATACAAGGCACAGAGATTATTACACTACAGATGATTAACTAAATTTAGCTGTCAGCAAGGCCCTCTAAGCAAAGTGCTCATTCAAAGAGCAGGCGATTTGTCAACAGTCCATGTTACGTGAAAGTCTAAAATGAGCGTATAAATTTCTGCCACTGCCATTCACAAGTGTCTATACAGCATCCGATCCTTCATTGTGTTAAGTAACAAGTATTATATTACACCTCCACCAGAAGACCTGTTAGTATGTGAATATGGACAGGGTACGATGAATTATTCTCATGTGGCAGCTGAGACAGATGTTCAGACTCCCAGATGTGCGCATGTAATTAGGTCTTCTTCTTGAGCTCTTCAAAGCGCCGTGACAGGTCATCAAAGTCAATGTCGTCTGATGTGTTGGCGTTCGCGCCGAAGGAGGAGGCTGGGAGTGTGTCGGGAACAGACGGAAGTTCAGGAAGGGTAGAGTTGTCATAGAACTGAGCAGACGGGGCTGGGCCTGGAGAGAAAACACAGCTTTTAGAAAGAACAATATCATAATACAAGTGATAAAAAAAATCATATTAGGACAGAGCACATACCTGGGATGACCTGGGAAGAATTAGAGGGTTTGACAGACAACTCATCGATCTTAAAAAACACATGAAAACATGTTAACATCTCATACATACACAGCAACTACTGCAAATAATCTATAATGCTGTGCTGATAATGTGAAGGATTAGAATTATGAGACGTGCATTGTGAGTTAGAACAGACCACCGTAGTGAGTGAATGTACTTAATATTTGCACACCTGGGGTCTCATTTATAAAGGTGCGCACAGAACGATCCTAAACGTTAAAGTATAACAATTTCCACAATGTTCCTATAAAACTAAATTCTTAAACATCCATACACACAAAGAAATTGAAACACTTGCTAAATGCATCATTTTATAAATTGCAGTTTACCTTAAATTCAAATGTAATATGAACAAGCAGATGATCGCAGCTGATCTACAGAACAGCCATAAATATCCCTATATCCTTGTTTTTTTGTTTTAGGAATTTATAGAATTCCAGGAAATTATATACAATTAATTAATTAATTGCAGTGACATAATTATCAAAAAACAGCTGCTAATTTTCACATATAATTTTAATGCATATTGTGATTGTCTGTGTATCTTTACATTTTCATAATCAATGCTGGATTATTTTAATTACTGATATATATGTGTACAAAAAAGTCTGTACACATGCTCTTCAATTGGCATAAAAATGCTTTTTGCAGTTTTTGCCTTTATAAACTCAGAAATCCATGGAATTTCGGATTAAATCTGATCGTATTGTGCGTTTTATAGATGAGGCCCCTGTTGTCAATATGGTTTGTCAATAGGAAGGTTTCCTGTTGAGGATTTGTTGGGGTAAATGCTTCAAGGTGAATGTCACGAAAAGCAAAATCAAAAGAAAAAAATATTGCATTTTTGTATAAAGACAATGAAACATTTTGTGTGATAATATTTTCATGACAATTCATATTTTTCGTCTCATTTTTAATATAATGTATTACTGATCCAAACGAAATGCTTCGGTTTCTTTATGCAAAATACTACTTTTTTCTTTTCATTTTGCCAGACATGTTCTTGACAACCCATATGAGATTAACCTTTTTAATATACATTTGTGTGCACTTTTTCACATATAGCATGTCTACTTAAATACTTAAAAGCACTTCCCCAAAAAAGCCATACACTTGGTGAAAGAGAGATCAGAATGTAGTGTTTTCGATCCTTTGCAGCCCGTAGCACATGCCTGTGGAGGCTCCCTGTGTGAGATCAGAAGACTGACAACAGAACAGGACTAACACAGCATGTGAACTGGAATAAACTACTCTTCCCTGCAAGGTGAACAGGTCGTCTCCGTCTGTCTGGAAGGGTGGGAGGAGTGGTGATCACTTGCACTTACAGATTCATAGGTGGGTGGGCAGCTGGGCAGCTGTGGGGGCTGCCCTCCTCTCACTGGAGGCTGGAAGTTGCTAAAGCCATCATAGGTGCCAACAGAACCATTAAAGGGCTCCTGTAGGGGAAACGTTATTTTAAATGGATCTCATCTCACAGCCAAACAATCAGACTTCTTAGATTGGTCAATTAAAATGAGTTAGTCAGTGGTTGGTCTTACAGCTCCTTTGGGCGGTGGGTAGTTGAAAGCTGTGGGCATGGGCATGGGCATGGGCATAGGCATGCCTACAGCGGGAGCCATAAACCCTCCTCCACCTCCTCCTCCACCAGCTCCTGGCTTCTTGAAGTCGCTGTCCACATCAATCAGATGGGCCTCTTCACCCGGACACACCTCTGGCTGTGAATGATACAGATGAGGAAAGTTTGAGACAAATGCTGCTTGTTACGGTGACGCATTGCTGCCACACACATTTTTTTTCCCCACTCAATTATGTCGTAATAACGAGATATGTCGTTTTAACGACATCTTTTCTCGTTTTAAGAATAATAAGTAATAACGACATATGTCATAAAAATGATGTTTTCCCGTTATTATAGATATATGGTATATGTGAGCGAGCTAAGCGACTGTCCTCGCTGCTGTCGCCACAGTCTGACATAAACGAGGATCTGCACGCTGCTGAAATGATTGAAATACACTGTTTTAAATGTATTTTAATGTAATGGTTTTAATTGTAC